CATGATCAAAAAAAAAGTTATGAACAATTTTATACACCTTTTTTGGCTCATATTTTTGCGATTTTTCCCAACTTTTTTTGCTCTGACACGTACCATTTTTTACAGTTTTCTTCAATTTTTATCAAACCTTCACTATTCATTTATTTAAACATTTTATTTCATGTTTTACATTCCACTTTTGCCGAAACTTTCATAAGTGTTTCCAAAAACTTATTTTGCTATCGCAAACCCCGAATTTTGCCAATTGTACGCGGAAAAGGTCCCTACTCCTTCTGGCGCGGTGACATTAAATGGTAAGTTGCAGTCAAGGCTGACGATGGGAGCAAAATATAAAGTGACACGTTACAACGCTACACACTACACACTATAACTATTGTACACAGTACACAGTAAAACAAAGTATTTAGTAAAACAAAGTATTTTATTTAGTAGCAGTGCAATCAATTCATATGATATAATTATAAGAATATAATAGTATGTCACACCTATTTAACTGTTACGTTCGAGTAGTCGTGCCATGGCTAAATTTAACTAGGACCAGTGGTGTCGATTAACATTTTAAAAGGTGATTCTAAGTGACACAAATGGAAAATTTTAAGAAAAGACGGATCAAAACACAGATCCAAGGACAAGGAGACCCCACTGCAGGACCATACATGCTATTGGCTTGTGCATGGCCCAAAAGGTTCCAGCTGTCCAGGAAACTGTACGTAGCTGGTCAACTAGTTTTGAATTCAGACTAGGCTTGATGAGTTCTGGGGTTTCTAGAGTAAGATTTGATGGTGCCAGGTTTGTTCAGGCGGACATGGAAATTATGCGAGGAATATATAGGTATATAAAAATCATATCAATATAAAAATAGATCCAAAAATAGATCCAAAGATTCACACGGCAGTCAGGGAATTTCCAGACAGGATGCTTTTGAAACAGGTATAATTAGCGCTTTTGTAATTAGTTGTATGCAAGGGATGGGATGCTGATTGACTAAGCTGGTTCAATGCCCCAGCTATTTAGGGGGAGCCACTCAATTTCACGCCCAGGTGTTGTCAATTGCTGGGTTTCAAGTAAGAGCTTTTTGATACGGCTCTTGATAATTGAGATGGGGGAGGAAAGGTCTGAAAATTTACTAGAGCCAGGGACCATGACATTGTTTTCATTAGGAGTGCATTTGTCGAATATTTTATCAACCAAACTGTTCCATATAGTCGTACCTTTGAAGACAAAATTGTGTTTAGAAATTTCAAGTTTGTGTCGGGGGACCCGCATAGTTTGGCTACATGCTCTGGAACTTGTTTGGAATAAACTTGTCAGAGAGATAGGTTGATGCAGTTTCAAGATTTTAAACAGTTCAGTGGATATATGTTGGGTGTACAGGTTGTGGATTGACATGATTTTCTCGGTATTGAATATTGGCTTAGTGTTTTCCAAAGCAAAGCTCCTTTTTGCGATGTGTTCACTGTATGGTCTTGCACGTGCACATGTTTCATAATACTCTGCCCGGTCAAAGCTTGGTTTGCTTCCAAATAGAAGGCGTACACATCTTTTTTGGATGGAGAACAGTTTAGATAGTCTATAAGGTGTGACACCACCCCAGCTACTGATACAGTAGCTCATATGAGACTTGAATAAGGAGTCATACAGCTTATGGTACTCTGTTTCTGGAATAAACTTCATAATACGTTTAATTATAGCTATACTTGTAGTTAGTTTACTTTTTATGTTATCTAGTTGGGGTTCCCAGGATAGTTCATGGTCTATGATAACACCAAGGAATCTCACTTTATCTACCCGTGTAAGCGTGTTGCCTGATAACGTGAGTGAGTTCTCAGAGCCATATTCACGAGCACGTGCACAGGACGAGTACCGGCCAGGTCTGAATAACATGTAGACCGATTTGCTTTGGTGAAAGTGCAGCAAGTTAGATTCCATATAGTCATTTACAGATTCAAGTACTTTATTAGCATTCAAATAGGCTTCTTGTTCAGTTTTTCCAGCAACAAATATGTTCGTGTCATCTGCAAACAGTATGAAGTGTCCAAGTTTGCTAGAGTTGGTAATGTCATTAATGTAGAGTAAGAAGAGGAGAGGGCCTAGAACTGATCCCTGTGGTACCCCATATTCAATTTTGCAGTGATCAGAGTGTGTATTTTGGAAATCAACATACTGCTGTCGGTTACACAAATAGCTTTCAATTAGGTCAAGACAGGGCCCTCTTATGCCATAGTGTTCAAGTTTGACAAGTAATTTTCTGTGGTCGATTGTGTCAAACGCTTTGCTTAAGTCAATGAATATGCCAATTACATGATTCTTACTTTCTAGGTTTTTAAGAATGTGGTCAATGGAGTAATTGATGGCATGTGCCGTTGAGTGGTTGGATCTGAATCCAAACTGTTTATCGTATATGACCATATGTGAAGTAAAGAAGCTATATAGTCGGCAGTAAATTACTTTTTCAAATATCTTACCAAAGATAGGTAGAATGGATATAGGCCTGTAGTTATCAAACAGCTGTGGGTCTCCTTTCTTAAATACGGGGGTGACCTTACCTATTTTGAGAATATTTGGAAATAGACCCAGCTTCATGAATGAGTTTAGGAAACCAGCTAGGTGTTTAGAGATTGTAGTGCAACATTTCTTAAGAACAGCTATTGATATGTCACTAGCCTTGTCACCCTGGAAGGTTTTAACAATTTTTTCGATTTCCTCAGAATCACAGGGGTTTAAGAACATACTGTTGGTAACTCTTTTGTTAAAGTAGTTCTTATAATTAAGGGGCCTCTGGCAAGCTGTGTCACGACTTATTGGTTTGGAGGAGCAGAGCTTCGCGTTAAGTTTACCTGCAATGGAAGAGAAGAACATGTTAAAGCCATTCGATATGACACGCTTGTCTTTTACTAAACTACCATCTATTTTGAACGAGGCCTTTATTCCAGTTTTTGTTTTTCCCCTCAGTTCATTGATCAGTGCCCATGTTTGCTTCATATTACCTGAGACTTTTGAGAATTTTCTGCAATAGTACAATTTCTTGGCAGATCTGATAATGTATTTTAACTGTCGACGGAATTTACTATAGGTTAAGTATAGATCAGAGTCTCCAAGAGGGTTGGGTTCCTTAATTGTACTCTTCCACTGCTTGTAAAGATATTCTTTCTTTTTCACTGATGCAATGATCCAGGTGGTGTGATCCAAGGGTTTGCAATCATATTTCTTTTTGACTTTTTGAACGATTCAGATTCAATTAAAAAGTTTTCTTCGATCAAAAGTTTTATCTTATTTGCAAAAATTTCAAAGTTTTCTACGTTGTAGCACACCTGCCCACAAAAATTTGTTTGAATATCTTCTAAGAACTTGGTCATATTAGATTCACAGTAGTCGTATTTTGGTTTACAAGGGTCAAGTTCTGGTTCTTCAGGCATGCTACATTCGAGAATACAGAAAATTGGAGAGTGATGCGAAACCCTGGTATCCAGTAGTCCAGCTGACACAATGTTGTCAGTGGAGTTTGTCAGAATATTGTCAATAAGCGATGGGACACAGCCTGGTTTATGGTGCGTTGCCAGTGATATAAGTGGGACAGTACACAGTATAACTAAAATATAAAATATAAACAAGAGACAAAAGAGTTTACAGAAGAGTTTTTAAAACATTGTTTCAAAGAAAAAGTCATCATCATTGTAAAGTGTCTGTTGAGGTGACAAGTAGAATTGAAGGAGATAACAATTTGGAGAATAAAAGGAAACATAATGATTATCTGTGGTTTCATCCATATGTAGCAAAGAAAAAGTTTATCAACCTGAACTAGGCCGTTTGGGTATAATTTAAATTATTAACATATTTTTATGAATAGTTGTGATGATCTTATGTATCATTATGTTTTGATTTGATTTGATTTGATTTGATTTGATTTGAGTGCTCATTATTGCCCTTTTATCATTTTTACCAATAAGCTTTCAAATTGTTACACCAATACATCATTTTATTTCAAAGAAAATTCGCCGAATCACCTGTAGCTGTACATGCCTTGACAAGTGACCGAGTGTAAATACAATCAGGGACACCGAAAATTGTATTATAACCGGAAATTCAGATTACTGATTAAGGATTTGTGGCATTTGTATGGGGTCTTCATAAGCTACAAAAGATACAGAACAATGCTGCTAGATTTATCTTTGGTCTTTACGGAAAAAAGATACGTGAACCTATCATGCCTTACCTCAAAAAGCTCCACTTTCTGCCTGTTCGGTTCAGAATTAAGTTCAAAATATCACTTCTGGTCTTCAAGTGTCTTAATAACATAGCCCCTCAGTACTTACAAGGACACGTCAATCTAAGGGAAGTACGAAGACAAAGTTCCAGACTAGATGATGACTTTTATTTGTTGAAAGTTCCTCCTGCTCCTCATTTCAGACGAACAGATGCTGCATTTATGTTTTGTGGACCAAAAATTTGGAATGAACTACCCTACTCAGTGAGATCATTATCATCTGTAGAATGTTTTAAAAATGCCCTAAAGACGTTTTATTTCCAACTAGCTTTTGATAATATTTCTAATATTTGTCCATAATGTCTGAACTGATATGAAAGTGCATAATTTTGGTAACTTCATACAAATATTTGTTCATAAAATCTGAACTGTTTAAAAAGTCCATAATCTTGCTATTTCAACACTAAGTCTTGCTTGAATGACTTTAATGTACATCTTTGTTGGGTATATTTTAATGTCGAAGCGTGTAATAAATGTTAGAATTTATTTATTTATTTATTTATTAAGTAAACAAGAAAAAGATAAATCGTGAAATTAATGCCAGAAGTGCGCACAAAATTGTGCAAAGATGTCTAGCATTGTAAAACCACTTGAGGTTTAAAAAATATTAAATATATTATATAATTCCAGTGTAAAATTATTTTTACAATTTTCAGTCTGCTCATTCCTTGATCATTTCTGTCTATGTAATTATTGATCACTGCGTTTCACATTAATAACAAACCCCCCTTCTCAGAATGTCTGATGATGAAGATGATTATGTATTATTTGGCAGTAAATTTACCAACATCTCAACACAAGGCAAGATAAAGCATGTGCAGGATGAGGTGGTTACTGACGAACAGGGAAGGAGGAGGTTTCATGGAGCCTTCACTGGGGGTTTTTCTGCGGGCTATTATAATAGTGTCGGATCTAAAGAGGGTATGTCTAGTTTTGTTGAATTACTTTTCCTGGTTTCTGGTTTACAATTTCAGAGACCTAAATCAGTTTTGTATTCTGATCTTGTGCTTTTTGAACTAAAATCAGATAATACTTTAGTTTGATCTTTAATTATTTTACGTCTCCCAAAAATTTGATGGTTATTATACCCGCAGGTTTTACACCATCGACTTTCACCTCCTCTAAAGAAAAGCGTCAAACGGCATCAAATAGAACTGCTGATATGTACATGGATGAGGAAGATATATCAGGTATCTCATTTATATTGATTAGTCTTTTATATTAATTAATATCAATTTTGAATGAAGTTTTTAAGTTTATTACCTTATCTAAATAGTGTTCTTTACATTACATCACATTTTGAGTAACATAATATTACATTTTTAAAAATATTTTAGACCTAATAAAAATAATTATTTCAGCATTCGGCATCGCCCCAAAAAATATCGGTAAGTCGAGTGAGTATAATGAAGAAAAGAGCCAATCAAAAGATTCAATTCTCTCAGTTATGACTGTGGACAGGTATCTTTTATTATAGATGTTTTTCTTAACATACACCGTACATTTTATAGTAGAATAACCTCCTAGATTCGTATACACGATGAGGGATTGTAGCTCACTAACTTCAGCCCTTATTTACTTCATGACTCTGTGTCAATCCATTTTGTTTTGTACTTCATAATATGGTGTATATTGTATTAATGTCTGGTTATCATATATATGGTGTTGATTTGTTCTATACTTGGAATTGGCAATTATCTACCGATATCAAATGTATATAATGCACATATCCATAGAAGATACATTTGCATACGATTTATTTTGACTGCAAAGTTACGGCACATCTCGATCTAGACTACATAAAATCTAAGTTGACCGCTTCTTAACTTGTGATGTGTATTTGAATTATTTACAGGGACAGTAAGGGTGTAAAGCTTATGAGAGCTATGGGCTGGAAACCGGGCTTTGGAGTAGGACCTAGAAAACAGGTCGGTACTGTCACATAACACCTTGTAGTATTAATAACACGTTTAATTACGATAATTCACCTCTATTTCGATTCACATGTTCTACTATATTAATTTAATGTTGAAGTGTTTAATCTTTTGTCTTGATTTCGTTAACACATTATTAAAATACAACCTTCAGGTAGAACAGAAGGAGTCTAGTAAAGCAGCGTACAGTTGTCAACCTCCCCCTGGCTATAGTAAGGTATTCACATAGTTCTTAAATATTGATACATTCCATTGTGTACTCAAGAATTATTCAAAATTTCTCCACAATAAGATTTGTTTGAGATCATCGGTATGATAGTTCCAATCATTACTATGATGAAGTTCAGTTATAATGTTTGATAAAAAGGACTTTTTTAAATTTGGGGAATTATCAGCTTATTCGCCTTTCTCAGAAAATCATTTCCATTAACTCACGAAACTTATAGGAAGAAGGAGACGCAGAAGAGGAAGAAGAGGAAGAGGACATGTACACGATTGGTTTGTACCTAGCTCCTAAAGACTCAAACCAGTACATGCTCACTGCCCATCTCACGAACAAAGGTATCGACTATATCGGAATATCAGGTGAAACGTCCGCCAGCTCCTCCGGTAGAGACCAAAAAGTTGCAGGGTTTTCAGGGGAAGCGTTCGGTATCGGGGCACTGGAAGATGGGGATCAATACAGTGTGTACGACAAGGACCACAAATCTAACTACTCCACTACTATTGAAGAAGAGGAGAGTAGAAGTGACAACTTCCACCTAACTCACAAGTTCAAGTCTACAAAGAAGGATTATCTTGGCAACTTTAATGTGGGCAAGATGGATAAGTACTTGAGGAAGAATTATACTCCTCCAGCTATACCGCCAGGGTTTAAACCCTTTCATGTTCCTTCAACAAGCAGTATTAAAACTCAGCCAGCATCTAACATTCAGGAAAGAGCTGCTAAGTTAGGTATCACCGACTTCGACCGTCCCTCTCCAGCCTTTGCTGCTGTCCCCTTTGATAAGTCTGAGGAGATGTCTGAACATGAAGGTATTAAAGATACGAAACCAGCACAGCCCTACGCTATGTTCCGACCATTTCAAAGTAAACCTGCAAAGGAGGAGCGTTACAACAAGTTCTTGAAGGGAGAAACAATCGACTACTTCTCAATCGGTGTGACAGATTGGGAACGGGACCGGGAGACCGAGGAGTTCACCAAATCCTCCAAGTTCTTCAAACCGCTGAGTTTTGAGATGTCGAACAGGTTTGCCAGCGCAGGGACTAACGTTGAGGACGATAAAAGACAGGAGCTGGAAAAGCAGGCAGAGAAGGAGAGGAAGGAGGCGGTGAGGATGAAGATGTTCGGACAGCTGACCAGGGAGACTCACCAGTGGATTCCTGCCTCTTTGCTTTGTAGAAGATTTGATGTCATGAACCCTTATCCTGAGTAAGTTGCTTACTGGTGTGCAATTGCAGTTACAAATAGGGGAGACGTGTTTTGTTTATAGATGCTTCTGATTCGTGGTTATAAGAAAATCATCCATATTATAAGAGATTAAATTCATGCATAATTATTAATTTCCGGTTTATTTAATTTGGGGGGGGGGGGGGGGGGGGGCCGGGGGGGGATGGCCCCCAAATTTAGTGTATCCACTATAACTAGCCTCTTAGTGCATTATAATGGAAAAAATTTCTAAAATTTGCATAATTAATTAATGTTTCGTGGAGAAAAGTAGGATATAATGATCATATTGTAATTAAATCATTTAAATGTAATAATCTGATTAAATTTAAAATTTGAATATAGCTGAGTGCTAACTGACCTGTATTTTAGTATACAAAGTGTGGGTACAATAAGAAGATTCAGCAGGATAGTCACTACTACTTCTGCTGCCTCAACATCACAGGTATTAGCCCACAGTATAGGAACCTATCTATAGTTTTAAAACAGTTCATAGTCAGATTTTGCTATCTCATATTATCAGATTGTGAGCATTATGTATATTTGTTGTTTAATAACGAATGGCGGAGCTGGGGTCTTCTTACAATGTTCAGTCGCCTGTTGCACTACCCAGAACCCGCTCCATTTCAGGTAAAATCTCCAGAAGAAGAAGCACGCTCAGTATCCCAGCACCCCGACAACACCCCCTCCATGTCACGTGACGCAACACGTGGTAATAACAGTGTGTCACGTGACGCAACACGTGGTAATAACAGTGTGTCACGTGACGCAACACGTGGTAATAACAGTGTGTCACGTGACGCAACACGTGGTAATAACAGTGTGTCACGTGGTGCTCCAGGGCCCTCAGCAGTGGCTGAAGATGAGCGGAAGTTGGAGGATAGGATAGGAGATAATGTCGACCTCTTCAAATCTGTCTTTGCAGATTCGGATAGCGAGGTAAGTGGTATGAAAAAATTGTTTTGTTTTGTTGAGGGAGCAAACTTACAAGATAGGTCCGGGTTTACGCTATACATGGTGGCTAGAAGTAACTGCCCACCCTGTGTACCGGCATTTTAGTCAAGGTGCTAGGATATAGGACACACTCAACTGTGATATGAACAATCTTCAGATTCAGTTATTTTACAATATGTAAAGTATGTGTTCACAGTGTTACTTACACTGCTATAATATATTATGTCCTTGTTAACGTGCATGAGGTTTTAAACCTGTTCCGCTTGTGTTTCGTGTGAATGTTGTTAATGTACATTGTACATTGTACATTGTACATGAGCTTAAGTTTGAAGTGAGAGAACTCAGGTTCCGCGAAATGATGCTAAAAGTTACCTGTTAACCAGTCAGATTGGCGATGAACCTAAATAAGGTGGATTAGAATACCTCACAGAAATAAAACAGGTCGTGGAATTTGTGTGAAGGGTTTGAGCCTGAAGCAAGCGTTTTAACACTTTATCTCAGAATAAAAGAGAATAAATACACAAGATTAATAACACAGATTACTAACACAGAATCAGTACCATTAATAACACAGATTACTAACACAGAATCAGTACCATTAATAAGTTCACAGATTACTAACACAGAATCAGTACCATTAATAACACAGATTACTAACACAGAATCAGTACCATTAATAATACAGATTACTAACACAGAATCAGTACCATTAATAACACAGATTACTAACACAGAATCAGTAGAGTTGAGACACAGTTAATAAACTGCGGAGTGACTAAAATGCTATACAGCAAAAACAGAACGCTCTAACCAAACACTTCACCTACTGATCCTAACCACCCTAACAACTCTCTAGCTCTCTATCTCTTCAACCCTCATTCCCTCACTCCTCTTGGTGCACAAAACCATTCCAACCTATGTATGTCCCCCCTACGGGTTCCACAAGCCCAACGGTACATAGTTAGACGAAAAACAGAGAAGCCTTGATTGCCAGATCAAGGACTGCATCAGTAGCAGCGAAATACGGATATACCTTCTCCCTTACAGTCAGCGAGCTGACAACTATCTGACTGTGTCTTTTAGGCCTTGCCACACCACCTTCGCTATTGCATCCGCTCGCCCGTATTCACTGACACATGCCACACCTGGGTTTAGTATGAAGATGTACGCATATTCACCCAAGATGCGGAGATGCCTCAGTTTAGCGAGTTGAGATACAACAGCAAACTCACAGGAGCATGGATCAGAATCATCAGTTACCAACCTGACACCGTTTCGGGGCTTTAATCGCAATACGGTTTCCTGTCAGGCGCCCCAGCAGTCCACCCTTGAACCACCATCTGATCCGAGAGTCACTTGAGGAGACCCGTTAGAGCTCGCAATTGGCGACGAGATAACGTTTATGGTACCTCTAGATGTTATAGTGAACTCTCAAGCTCCAACCTTCCTGAACTCCCACTCCCTCTTTCTCGATAACAAGTAAATCCATCTGGAACAGTGGGCTGCCTCTTTCCCGCTGTCCCGTACCAGCTTCTTCAGCTCTCTTCCCCTAAAACCAATCCTCCTCGCAGCTCTCTCCAAACTCTGCGCAACCACTCCCCTAGCTCCAACTTCGACTGCGGCATTATAACAGCACCAACCTTTCGCCTGAATCTCAGCCTGCAGACCGCTGTATCGGTCGAGCTTGTACTCGTGCGATTCAGCGATCCGCTCTTCAGATGGTACTGTTAGCTCCCACCAAATAACTGTCTTTGCCGACCTTGAGAATATCACAAGGTCCGGCCTCAGCCGTGTTTCCACAATCTCACTGGGAAACTTAAGCTGCCCCTCAAGGTCTGACAGCACTATCCAATCCCGATACCCACTCAGGATCCCAAAACCACGACTCTCCTTCCGGTCGTCTGTACCTGCTTTTCTTTTCCCAGCAGGAACAAAATCAATGAACTGCTTTCCATCGCCGGCCTTGTTCTTATAAGTGTTCACTCGGCGATCACAATGGAAGACAACCTGTTCAGAGATCTGCTTCAGAACCTTGTCGTGCCGCCATCTATACCTTCCTTGACTAAGGGCCACCTTACACCCAGCCAAAATGTGCTGAATGGTGCCCATCCTCTCCTCACATAACTTGCACTTCCCATCCTCATCTTCACTCCACTTGGAAACCATAGAGGGGGTTAAGAGGGTGCCGTACACAGCACTTAGCATGAACCCAATAAGTGAGTCACCATACTTAAAAAGTGTATGCCAGCTCAAATCCGTCTTCATTACGAGCTCTCTCCACTCACCCCACCTGCTCTGCATCTCCAGAGAACCTACTTGCACCTCCCTCTAATAACACAGATTACTAACACAGAATCTGTACCATTGATAACACAGATTACTAAAACAGAATCAGTACCATTAATAACACAGATTACTAACACATAATCAGTACCATTAATAACACAGATTACTAACACAGAATCAGTACCATTAATAACACAGATTACTAACACAGAATCAGTACCATTAATAACACAGATTACTAACACAGAATCAGTACCATTAAAAACACAGATTACTAACACAGAATCAGTACCATTTATAACACAGATTACTAACACAGAATCAGTACCATTAATAACACAGATTACTAACACAGAATCAGTACCGGATTCCGAACCATGTCGGTAGTTACTCCGTCCTCATATAATGCAAATTAAAATTTTGAATAGTTCTTCACAATAATGTTCCTTACTTTCACAGTCTGATTAGACGAATCTATTACAAGCAAACACTTAAAGTTGGGTCCTGCATTAGCAACGAGTAAAGCTATGTCATCCTCATCAAATGTGGTATTTTTATCCATCATAGTGAGTTGCTCCAGTTCTTTTAGATAAGGCAAAACTCTTGATGCTATACACCTGAAGCTTGCAACCATATCATACGCTGGAAGTGTATGTGCTTCAGTAATATAGGTATGATCAAGACGCAGTGCTTTTAGAAACCTGAGATGTTTTAAGTTATTTAAGTAATCTGAAGTTATTTGACAGTCGGATAAGTTCAGTTCTTCAAGCAACATGCAGTGGGTTGACAATATGCCAACAATATCAAAACCATTGAGTGTCAAGTGATTGTTTCCTGTCAAATCAACCAGTTTTAGGTTAGGCATAAGCTTCAAAATTGAAACCATATTTTGAGATAAGTTTCCGTATAGAGTTGAAACAGTTCTCTGATTGAAATAGTTCCTTGATTGAAATGTTCTCATATTATTGAATTTGGGCAGAAACTTTGTTAAGTTGTCCAGACCCCCCGGGTTATTGTATGATAAGTTTAAACACTCCAAAGTAGCAGCAAATGTCCTCAACATGAAGTCCAAAACACTGGGGTCAAGGCTTTTACAACTAAATTCTATTGATGTTAACGGATTAGCTGAGGAAACAATATCTGGTATGTAAGATCCATTGAAGTCATCATAGGCATAGCTGCTCCTACAACTCTTTAAGGAGATGCTGACCAATTTCTTAGAATTCCTCAGCACTCGCTCTATTACTCTATTTGACGCAAAACCTCCTTGTAAACGAATCCTTTTTATCTTTGGAGCCATCTTTTCTTCTATTACTGCTAACATGGGTTCATTCAGTGACTTAGAGAAAGTCCCGCTCATGTCTAATTCTGCCAAGTTGGGCGTGACATCGCACAATTCTGATAGGGTTTCTGCATTAAAACCAGTAACGTGTCTTTCCAATGACAAAGTAGTCAGACTTCCACAATTGAGAGACAAAACTGACAAAACACTATCGAGTTCAATTTCTCCCCAATCTGAATTATTTTTCTTGGATTTATTCATTAAAAACCTCAGATGTTCTATAGATAATGATTTATTCTGAGAAATCTTTAACAAACAAAGATTGTACCAACGACGGCAAACTAGTCCTAGTCTCAGGACCTCAACTGTGTTGAGATAAGATAGTGTTATGTCCAGTAATTCATCATTCAATACATGTATAGTTACCAGTTTCCTATCGGCCGCAGTAGTGTCAACTGTATTCAACAAAGGGTGGTGGTACATTCTTGACGCTATACAACCAAGTTTTGGTTTCCCGTCAGGACCCTCAAATTTCATTATCCTCGAACGCAGAAATCACTGATATTAGATTGAATGCAATTATTATGATTTTGTATAATAAAGAAATTGTATAATAAAGATATCATAAATTTTGGATAATGTATTGAAAAACAACTATTCCTAGCCCTCAATGAGCACGAACTTTCTGGGTAAAGGGTGGGTACTCGAATAAATAAGAGTAAAGCGCTTGCATATCTTGAAAAGGGCTCGGGCCTTAGGAAAAGTTTAACAAACCTTAATTTAAATAAAAACGATAAAGGAACTTTCAAGATAGCTAAAACAGACTCGGCTTGATACAAACAATCAACAACAAAAAGAACTGGACCGCGTGAAATGTGAGACTTAACAATTGACATGTGTAACGTGTTCATTGTGGAGGAAGTGGATTCCACACAGAATATAGGTTGTGGAGTAATTACTATGTAGTCACTGTAGTGTCGGTATGCCGCAGATTATTCTCGGATCCTGTGTTTATTATCCGAGCAGATCGTTAGTTATGTTAACAAATGTAGAGTTTTATTTTAGTATGTTACCAGTGTAGTTTATGAAAACATTGCATCGTGTGCAGTATGCATCGTGTCTTTATCTTGTTTCATGCAGCATACTCAATGTAAGATTTTATATCAGTTATTAGATTATATATTCGCATATAATATATCCACACTATTTACATTACACGTACAACGTGATATTATTATTAGGGCAGTGTGTACAACACCAACTACACCGATCAATTGCCAAGCTGCGAAACATTTATCCATTATTATTACATGGCAGGGCCTACTCTCATGCTGTCTATAGGTGATGATTAACTCTGAACAACTGGGGAATGATCCCAGAACCTCGACATATCGCGTGCCTTGCTCTACCTATTGAGCTACTGTCCCTGATTTTCAGAGCGAAATCACCACTCATATACAGCACAATTTCATGCTTCGTGCGGAATACAGTTATCAGTCATTCGATTATATATTCGCATATATAATCCACACTATTTACATTACACGTACAACGTGATATTTTTCACTCGCTTCCTATACCTCCCTATAATACTGGGCCTCTTGCGAGAGTGACAAAAAGTGCACAGTTCAGAGAAACCCCGGTGGGAAATCACATTTCTAACTCAACTCGGTCTAATTATAGAGGCAAAGAAGAGGCCCGGTACATTCAGGTACCCGGTAAATATTGGCAAGATTGATGGTATAGAGAGGTTTTATTCGATCACTTTTGGCGGAAAAAATATTCAAGTGAAAAATTTTCGTTTTTCTAAAAACTACATTTCTCCGTGTTTCAAACGATTTTGATCATTTTGAGCCAATAAAAAATTTTACTTTTTTTGGTAATTGGCTAATTGGTAATTATCCAATTAGCTGATTATCCAACGAAAAAAGTTTTTAATAAAAGTTTTTAAATAAAAGTTTTTCTCCTTGATGAGATGAACATCCTCGATTAATTTGCAACCTTCTACGACGTTCACAACTAAAGATATTTGGCAAACCAGAAAGGTGGTAAAAAGTGGTAAAAAGTGGTGTTGCCGGGAGATGCAAAATTGACGACAAGTCTAATTATGTTCGTAGGGGTCCTAACTACCATATTCCGTTGCTAAATCCTTATTACCCTTCAAATCCGACGGATTTCCACTTTTCCCCTGACTATATAGACAGCATGAGAGTAGGCCCTGCCATCTCGATGTAATAATAAGATTTTTATACTCATAAAATGATGGGTAAGACATAAAGTTAAGATAGTCACCGCTACCATTTGCATGCCCATGTAAGGAAGTCACCTGATTTTCTGGATGTATTCCAATCTTATCCATAACATGCATAATAAAATTGTCAGCATGACCTAAACATTGTAACATGTCCGCATGTGTCTTGATATTGTAGCGTGCAGAACTATAAAAATAACACCTCGGTACAGTTTAATTTAAAAACTATGATGCGTAAATATACATATCAGCTTGATGGTACAGTTTGTAAATGTATACGTTTATGTTTTGCAGTCGTTGTTGTAATTAGCAATTAGTTACTGCTTTACTGTGTGTTTGTTAAAATGTTTGCAATGGTTTCTTGTCTATATTTACTTGGTACAGTAAAACAATGCTCGGCGGAGGGGCCATCTTATCCTATAAGAAGCCAACCAGATTATTCCAGATCAATTCAAATGATCTATTTGGGAACAGTTTATTCTGGAAAATCTCTATTAAAAGCTCACAGTTAAACAGTACACTATGTCGTGCATATTTTACCTGAATTCTTTGTATTATTTCAGGAAAGTGGTGACGAGGAAGAGACTCCAGGAACGTCTGAAAAGTCAGACACTCAACTTCAAAATATCTCTGTAAAAGAGGAGAGGGATGAGACTATATCACACCAGATACCGGTGTTGGGTCAGAACAGCCAGTCAGACAATGTAACATCACACGGTGTTACTGTCGCACCTGAACTAGTACCTGTAACAACACCTGTTACATTAGCTCCCATCATCTTACCCATGCCTCCCTCCATGATACCTTCTTTTACTCCGATACCTTACCTACCCAACCCTGTCACACACCCTGTCACACCTGTCATTGTACCGTTACCTCCTGCTAATCACCCTATCTTATTTAACACGGACAGATACCAGAACACTGCTGACAAAGCTACTCTCAGCATTGACAAAGATCTGCTGGAAAGAATCAGATCAATACCTGATCAACCTCTGAAAAAGAAGAAAAGTAAAAAAGAGAAGAAAGCGAAAAAGGAGAAGAAAGCGAAGAAGAGGAAAAAGAAAGAAAAGAAAAAGAAGAAACGAAAGAGAGAATCTTCCAATTCCTCCTCAGTTGATCAGAAGTCCAGATCTAGAAGTGAAACCAGGTCTCCTTCTCCATCACGGGCATTATCACGTGACAACAGGAAGTCACGTGATAAGAGAAGAACTCGGAGTGTCTCAAGAGACGACCGCCGAGACAAAACTCGCAGTTATTCCAGATCTAGGAGTCGTGAACGAAGTTTCTCTCGATCTCACTCAAGAGACAAGCGCACACGCAGTAGATCTAGCGATAGGAACAGACGGAGTGGTAGAAGTTCACACAGTTCAGATGAAAGGAGAAGGAGCAGATCAAGGAGAAAAACTAGGAGTAGATCAAGAAGCAGATCAAGGAGCAGATCAAGAAGTAGATCTCGGGAGGTTCTCAGACGTTCCCGCTCCCGAGAAGTGTACAGAAAGCCCCACAAATCCCGCTCCCCAATTTCAAGAAGTAAGAAAGAGTCTGAGGACTCGCGATCTCCTTACAGAGACGAAATGAGTCTGAAAGTAACAGAAGTAGAACGGAGTCTGGGGGATCATTCTCCCACTCTCCAAGTCTTGATCACAAATCAGGTCGTGGACGACAAATGAGACCGTTCAAGGACCGTGGTACGAGCAACCGTCTCTCCGCTGTCTCTAGATTGGGGCGCAGAATGACCGAGCCATCTGAACAGAATGTAATATCAAATCTTCAGTCTCTAGCTCAGAGCAAGTCTGTTCCGTATCAGTCTCCAGCTCGAAATCAGCCTCATCAGTCTCAGGATCAACCTGGTCCACATCAGTCAAATAACACCAGACAAACACATCCACAACGTGCACTGCCTAGAGGCTGGCAGCAGCCTCAGCAAGTTATAGATACACAAAAAGTGTTGTCGTCTCCTGTATCCGCTCACAGAGTATTACCCTCTCCAACTCCAGCATTCCCTAATGTCGCATCACCTGTTGTTGCGACAAAATCTGAACCATCAACTTCTGCTGAAACAAAAGCTCCGACCAGTAAGGCTGACAGCTCTGTTAAGAAGAAGACTGATTCTGGAAATCGGCCTAAGTTTGCTCCAAAACGTGCTAGGGCTATTGACCTTTGCGACATATGAAATGGTACAAGTTTATGTCATGAATGTTTTGATAATGTTAGCAATCCATTATGCGGATGAAAATAGTTCAGCTTTAACAGATTTTTACTTTTAAGATTGCTTATTTTTAATCAAAGTGAAGGCCTAATCTCAAATCCTTGAACGTGGTTCAATTTGCAGTTGAATCAACAAAATTAAGATAATACAATCTTAAAGGGTTTGAAAGTAATCTGTTCATGCGATGTTGACCACCTTCAGATTACTTGATAGTATTTACTATTTAACTGAATTGTTTAATCATTTATAAATATTAATGGTTTATAGATGTAACATAATTTATTCAATGGTATAAAATTACACGCATTTTATTGTTTTCGTGTGAGTTTGCAAACGAATTTTGCGCAGATTTGTGATTACCGAGTTCCATGTTTTATATGCTAAAATATAAGATTCAACAACGAAATCGCATGTAAATTGTTTATTGTGCAAATATTTCAATGTTGATGTAATAACTTGTAAAAATAAATATTTCTAGTAATGAGCAATAATGTCTCTTGATGAGCAATAATGTCTCTTGGTATTATATTCTCTGATACGATAGTATCTACTGTAGAAGTTGGTGTAGCTGTCTACAACGAAATACTCGGTGATCCTGCAAATGATCCAGAAATAATTGCAAATTCGCGCCGCGACATGAAACGTACACGACGCAGGATTCCTCAGAGCTTGGTCAGAAGAGTGGCTCAGACGCTGCCGCTTAAATCTGAGCCTCGTCTTAAAATACCGGTCAGTCTTCAGATATTCACTTTGTCTATTATTACAGCATTAGCCGTTACATTGACTAGGAGTTTTATCTCATTTTAATTGTACCATGGAATGTATCATGGAATGTATCATGGAATGTATCATGTTGCATCCCTGCTGCATTATCGCTTGAAATTTAATTTTTCGTCATAGGCCAATACAATCTTGTACATTGTGTAAAGTATTATTAAATGCCTCTAAATGCCTGACTCAGTCAACACTCTGGCACAACATGAATTCTATTAATACCGATGTGGTTAATTTATTATGTACAAACTACGCACTTAAATGTACAATGTACATTCTACACATAACTCAATGTACACTGCTCTGTTCAGATAACGAGATTCCAAGAAGAGTACGGGATATCAGTATCTAATAATGGGAAGTACAGCGTGTCTCCTTTTGAGGACACATCTTGGCTTTACGAAGAGGAGGGTCACATTAACAGCTCTTACAGGACTCACAAGGTCTGTTATACTGTACAGTTACTATAATAACTACTACAAATGTACTACAACTATATCATACACTTCTATAGTTATCAGTTATCCTCGCATTCCGTACAATTAGTGGCTTATTGTGCCAAACAGCTCAGTGTCAAGTGTGTAACTGAACGTTAGATAGAGGGTATATAACATCTGGCACTCACCCAACTAATTACTTACTTTGGTTACTTTGGTGTGCTTCATAGAATCCTCTATCGGGTCATCAGCATTTCGGCAGCTGTATCCTGCCACTAGAGGCTCATCCGGGAATGATTTCACAAACGTTGCAAGCATTTCTTTAAAGTGCAGGGGATCTTCGATAGTGAGCATGTTTGGTGGGATTAAGTTCCACAATCGAGGTTCAATTACTGCAAACGAATTATCGTAGAGCGTTTGGTTGCGCTGACTGCTAAATTTATTCAGAGTGGGAATAGCTGCCTTTTGGCCATGTCGAAGTGTTGCGGAGAACTGGATGTTATATAACATCTGGCACTCACCCAACTATTTATATAACATCTGGCACTCACCCAACTATTTATATAACATCTGGCACTCACCCAACTATTTATATAACATCTGGCACTCACCCAACTATTTATATAATATCTGGCACTCACCCAACTATTTATAAATTATATAACATCTGGCACTCACCCAACTATTTATATAACATCTGCCGACTGCCACTCACCCAACTATTTATATAACATCTGGCACTCACCCAACTATTTATATAACATCTGCCACTCACCCAACTATTTATATAACATCTGGCACTCACCCAACTATTTATATAACATCTGGCACTCACCCAACTATTTATATAACATCTGGCACTCACCCAACTATTTATATAACATCTGCCGACTGCCACTCACCCAACTATTTATATAACATCTGCACTCACCCAACTATTTTATATAACATCTGGCACTCACCCAACTATTTATATAACATCTGGCCACTCACCCAACTATTTATATAACATCTGGCACTCACCCCAACTATTTATATAACATCTGGCACTCACCCAACTATTTATATAACATCTGCCACTCACCCAACTATTTATATAACATCTGGCACTCACCAACTATTTATTTAATATCTGGCATCACCCAACATTTATAAATATATAACTACTGGCACTCACCCAACTATTTATATAACATCTGCCACTCACCCAACTATTTATATAACATCTGGCACTCACTCCAACTATTTATATAACATCTGGGCACTCACCCAACTATTTATATAACATCTGCCACTCACCCAACTATTTATATAACATCTGGCACTCACCCAACTATTTATATAACATCTGCCACTCACCCAACTATTTATATAACATCTGGCACTCACCCAACTATTTATATAACATCTGGCACTCACCCAACTATTTATATAACATCTGCCACTCACCCAACTATTTATATAACATCTGCCACTCACCCAACTATTTACTCCAAGCCACACTTAGCTACAGTTTATTTACTCATTCTCTCTTTCAGTTTACACCGACCCCGTACCCGAAGGACTTTATCCAGCGATGGGAACTGAGACCACCCCGTGAGCGCAGCCGACACGGCTCTGGCAACGAGGATCTAGATAGTGGCCTGGATAGTGTGAGTGTGTGCAAGAGTGGTATGAGTGAGGTCGCTGAAGAGAGGGTGGCGGCACTGGAGAACGAGCTGGCTAGTCTGAAGGTATTGGTGGTATTTTATAATTACATAGTTGGTGAGAAGGATACTGCTGTTCATTATTCTGGTGTTATAAGTTACGTGAGCCAGGCTCAACAGTTAGAGATCAGATAACAACTTTTTCCCATATTTCAGGCGATGATGGCGTCTATTGCGCTGGCGCAGATGCAGCCTACAGCAGCAAGCACACCGGCTTCTGTCAAAAGCACCCCACGCACTCCTGCACCACCACCTCCTGCACCACCAGCACCTGCACCTCCTGCTCCGGCTTTAGCTTCCAATTCCAGGCCCGGCTTCAAACCTTCCGTTCCTTCTAAAAAGAATTCTAACAAACTTCCGGAGATCAATGAGGTAATGTTTCAATACTTTCTTATCTTTTGCTCAGTCTTCACTCCATCTGACAATGCATAGGTATAAAGATAGCATCCAGTTTGATCTGCCAAAAGATTTTAATCAAAATATCATTTTCAGAATAAAGTGGCCGAACCGAGACAGGGTGATTTCTCGAACGTTTTGAAAGATGTTGGAAAGCAAAAATCTCTACTCAAATCAGTTGAAAAGTATGTGCTATTATAAGCTAAAAATCTTGATAAATTGTTTAAGTGACTTCAAGGGTTTGTTTTTTCTTCTTTTAATTTATTCTATTTGTGTAAATGTGTGATATCTTATCGAATGATAAATTCAGCGAGACAAAGAGTGTGAATCTCAAGTAAGTACGGTGTTGAATGGGGATTGAATGCAAGTTTTATTGACATAAATAATAACGAAAACAAAACCTGGAACTGCACAATTTCTTATCAAACCTGAACTCCTATCTTGACAAAATACCACTGTTGTCATTTTAACCGGAGAAATTGTTATGACGTTTTAAAGTCGCTGAGAAAAGCACTGGAAATATGGCTATCTTTTGCATGAGAGATCGAGCAGAGAAGATATAACTTACATTCTAACTTCGGTTGTAAAGATACATCAAGCTATGTAAGTAACGTCTGTTAAATGAACTTGTCACTTTTTTCACGTTAGCTTCCTCTCAGATCGCCTGGCGGAACTCCGATAAGAAGGCAGCCAAAACCGTGCAATCCTCAGGATCCTAGTACTATTCTCGCAAACGCTCTGCGGCAAAAGTTTGCCAACACGCCTACAACCATGAACGAAAGCACCGGTTAGTTTTAGTTATTTACTGGAAACTTGAGAGTTCCTGATTATTCTGATTGATTAGTTATGCAGTAACTGCAAATAGACCTGGTGAATAACTTAGGAGATGAATTTAACAATTTCAGATTGCGAAAGATCATTCAACGACTCTCTACCGACATAAGATAAGACATCACAAAAAGATGAAAGTGGGACCTCCTGATACTCCATCAAACAATGATTGTTTGATTGACTCGTTTTATACTAATTTATGTCCACTAACAATCTTAGTTGCTAAAATTGTGTTTTGATCGTATTTTAATTTACAGTAAATATCAAGTTTACCGAGTTTATGTCCAATCACATGAGACCCGACAAACCATTTTATATGTCGGTCAATCATCTTTTGAAAGCGACAGAGTATTTAACTTATTGTTCATTCATTTTGTTTATAAATATGAAGTTACTGGCTTCGAGAGTTGGAGTTAATATTAACAGTTACAATCTTGGTTTCTTGAACATAGATAACAACAAATCAATCTCATTGCTATCGCTAGTTTTTAATTAAAATGGACAACAAAAGAGTCTTATTTCATAGCGCTAAAAGCGCGCGCCCACGTACATACAATCAATTAATTAAGGCCGGCGCGCTCGATATGATCACTGATCATAATCGATAATATAATGATCAGATCGCGTAACGTTCACGGTTCTAATTAGAATAAATTAGAATAAGACCTCTTCAAGGATATCCAGTATTCAGTTCTTGATTTCAATCAATTCCAGTATATTTAATTCTAGTTCCTGGCATCCAATAATTCAATTTAATTCCCCTAGAATCTAGATGGTTATAATTAGAATAAGACAGTTAACAACATGCGTTGAATTCCCTCCAGTGGCGTAACTTAGGGTCCCGCAGACCCCGCTGTGCGGGGGGCGCCGTATAAGGGGGCGCAATTTTCCTGAATTGTAGGCCCTTTCACTGAAAAACGCCTTGTTTGTGTATTTCCCTGCCCAATTAAGCGTTCGGTCGACGCGAAAAAAATATTTGGGGTACCCTTTTTTGCTTCAGGGGGCGCAAAAAGCTGTAGGGGGCGAGAAAAAAGTACCCGACTTTTTTTTCTTTTTTTTAGGGACACAAATAATTTAAGGGGGCGCTTTTCGTCACTGAGCGGGGGCGCCAAAAGGCAAAGTTACGTCACTGATTCCCTCAAGTGGGAAAATCGTTAACGGGTGATACTTGTAAAATGTCTGTTTCATATAATTATATTGGACCGTCGACGAGTCCAACTCGGCGCGCGTCCTGGTAGGTTGTAAACCATAACACATAAACCTAAAATGTTTGCAAACATATGATTATCACGGGCTTTTCACTAGCCTTCAGGAAATCGTTGCCCACAAATTTTGTCGCATAGCACCAGTGGCCTTCATGAAGTTTTAATGGCCCAATAATTGTAAAGGCCACAAGTTAATTGGAATAATTTCCAATTATCACGACTAATTAACAATTAACTAAACTATAGTTTTGTGGGCTACATTATTTAGTTCGGAATATTATATGGGCCTAATGAGTAACTAACAATTAAATATATTTAAATATATTTAAATATATTTAATTGTTAGTTACTCATTAGGCCCATATAATATTCCGAACTAAATAATGTAGCCCAATGAATTTTGAACATCCGGCCGTGCATAAAATTTGTGTAATCAAATATTTTTATTTGTCATCTATAGCTTCTAGAAAAGATGGGTTGTCAACAACCCTATATCGTCCCTAATGAGTTAATCTTTTTTTACCTGGGGACCTCAGGCTATTATGTTCATAAACATATAGATAGGCAGTGCGCCATCGACAATAAGACGCGCGCGCTGACCATTGAATGGTTTTATAGCTCTTATTTCGGCCAGCACATTATTTTGGAAACAATCGAAAAGTTATAATACTTCCCATATAACAATTTTGTTGAAATTTGGTCAGCTTACGTAAACACTTATGTTCTACTGAACCTAATTTAGTTTGAGCAATTTCGATGCTCAGAATTTGAGTTATCAACGAATTTATACCTATTTTGTCATTTTTAGACCTCTTAATCAAGGCCAATCTCTCCCAACTAAATTAGGTTCGGTAGTTAAGTATGAATTGAAGGTTCTGACAAATTTTCAGCATGATTCATGTTTAGGAACCGAAGATATGACAGAATAATACGACAAAAATCAACGAATTTCGTCAAATTACGCGACTTTTACACCTAATTTTGCTCCAAAAGCCTTGACGGATGTTACTCGTCTAAATTTCTTCGAAGTAGCGCGCGCCGCTTTCTTCTCGAAATGTTAGACGGGAGAGAAACGAAAGATCGAGCGCTCAACTTAGCGCAAACTTGACTAATATCGCGCGTTACCGCGAGCACATTATATCATTTCTGCATATTGTGACACTGTGACAGCACAGATACTGGACAGAGTTGATATGAACGTAATCTGGTAAATTCGCTATATCGATTGAGTTCTTCATTATGTTGGCATTCAATAAATAGGCTTGGTTAATTTGAAGCGGTCTGTTTAAGCAGAACAATAATTCTAATACATTTCATCCCATCAATAACTCAATACAGTCAATATAAGTATGCCATTTGCCAATCACCGTTATCAACATGCACAACAGTTATAAGTTAAGTTTAATCATCCACGATCAATTACAAAAGCCAAATATGATAAATAACATATCTTACTATATATAAAGCGAGACGATATATATATGTGTATATATCCGTGCCATTTTACTGACACCACGGCATCAACTTTAACGCGACTTTCCGCAAAAACCGTAAAACATATACAACTGAAACTTTTTTGACTGGGTCAAATGCTTTAATGGCCTTCAAATCAGCATGAAAAAATAAAAAATTGGCCAAGGAATAATAATTTTAGTGCCCAAAATTTGGACTCTCAAGTGGTGTCAAAAACGCGAATTAAATAGGTAATAATTATTTTAGTCTCTCGAGTCTTGACACCACTTTAGGGTTAGACGGGTTCCTGCTAGTGAAAATAAACAGTAAAGAGTAAATTTCACACGTACAAACTACAAATACGAGACCCCAAAATACTTTCAGTGCAGCTATCACAGATAATGCTGAAAAATTGCATATTACAAAGCCGGGTTCACGGGCTTCCTGAAACATCGTATGTACATGCAACCCACTGTCATAGTTGTAATATATATATTGGTCGAGGTAAATCCTATCATAATTGAAGGGTTGGGATTGTGTTCACATTTCACAGTTCAGTCACAAAATATTTGAAGGTTATTGTCTATCAAGTATTACATGTTGATGTAGCATTAAAGTAGAAGGAATGTCCAATCGTTGATCTGTATACCATTTAACCAAGTTTGATGTCTTTCGTTTTTCATCATGAAGCATACTTTAGTCTGATCAAGCTGAATTTATGATCTCCGGTTGCCAGTCGTTGCCTGCGCCCTGCAGTCGACCTGCAACAAAATCAGAATATTATTGATAGAACCAATAAGATTGAAGAGAAAAATTCGAATCCCTCTGTATCTCAGTAAAAAATTTTATGTTCAAATGTTTTAAAGTCATTCAAGGAACGGAATCTTCTTTAATTTATACATGCAATTTATACAATATACAATTTATACATACTTCAATAGTTAAATCTTGATCTCAAACTTAACTAGAACTTGTCTTACTTTGAACAGCAGTCTGACTGAGGGCAAGAGTAGGTTATAGGGATTTCAGAGTTCAGACACTGAAACTCTAGGTACCTGAAAATAATAAATGTTACTCAACGTTATATTAAATCTTGCAGAAAGTTTAGAAACTAGACATGAAATACGGCCACAGAATTGTTGCCTCTTTTCTCACAATTTCTCTGGTACCTTTATTGTTATGCAATATGTGACACAGGTCACAGTACATTTTGTAGATAGTTATTGGTTCTTTGCCCACCATCAATTTGGCAGCAATGCAGATTCACAGGGTGATCCAAAACAACCCGGAAACTTAGATCCTAGCTAGACAGTACGTTACGCGTTACGTAGTCGATTACGTGATGGAGTTTTTGTTCTGCCTTGACAGCACGTATTGCAGTACGTGATCCAGTATTTGATACTAGCTAGTCAGCACGTATTGCAGTACGTGATCCAGTATTTGATACTAGCTAGACGGCATGTATTGCAGTACGTGATCCAGTATAAAGTATTCGATCCTAACTATTATAGAGTATAGACCAGGAGGTGACCGGGAATCCCGGTACCGGGATTGGCAATTTTTAGCTATCCCGGTCCCGGTCCCGGTCAACCGGGTCAAGTCACATTTTTCATCCCGGTCGCGGTCCCGGTCCCGGTCAAATGGTGATTTATGATCCCGGTCCCGGTCCCGGTCCCGGTTAATTCAGGATTCTTGGTCCCGGTCCCGGTCCCGGTCCCGGTCAATCACTCAAATTTGCCGGGATTTTGACCGGGATCTTTTACATAATTTCATTCACTGTGATTTTAAGTTTTTACTTTCATTCATTGTGAATTTCATCTTTAAACAACCTCTGAGCCAAATAAAACAATGTTTAAAATTGCTAAACAAGTTAAGGTAACTAATATCGTTACATAACTCATAAGTGCAAAGTAACATCAAGTTTTCAACTCGGCCCGGGCTACGCCCAATTGTCAATTGGAATTGGAGAATGAAACTGTTTAATAATTTGAGGGATCATTGATTGAGGAATGAGGAATGAGGAATGAGGGTGAACTTGAGTAATCAGTACATGAACATTATTGGTGTAGTACATTAGGCCCATGCCCCATATTGACGGGTTTTTTTAGTTTTTTCTAATTTAATATTCTAGTTATTACTTATTCAAATTTTTCAATTATAATGTAAATGAAAGTTTCAGCTTTCAATATGAGAATACCAGTTTTGGTCCCGGTCATCCCGGTCAAATCCCGGTCATCCCGGTCAAATCCCGGTCATCCCGGTAAAATTGGATTGTTGGTCCCAGTCCCGGTAAGATAGAAATCCCAGAAATTATTGGTCCCGGTCCCGGTCCCGGTCACGGTAAATTGATAATCTCAGTCCCGGTCCCGGCCCCGGTCCCGGTCAAGTCACATTTTGTATCCCGGTCCCGGTCCCGGTCCCGGTCAGGCCTAAAATCATGTCCCGGTCACCTCCTGGTATAGACGGCACGTAACGCGTCACCTGATCATCTTAAGAATTACTGGGCGGCGCTCAGCCTGTCATTCCGCCGAATCTTTATGTTTATGAACATAATAGCCTGGGGCCCCCAGGTAACTTAAGAATTATACTGAGCTTGTCCAAAAAGCATAAATCAATAAATATTGAAGTCTTGCAAAATGTCCAACACTAATCTATTTTGAATTGTGTTATTTATGTGTTTAATTTGAATTTAGATTATAATGGAAGTCCGTTCGTTTCAAATAAATCATCCAAACCTCGTGAGTACTAAGTTCACTGAACAATTCATAATTAAATTGAAAGTACGAACATCGGACAAGATATAATACGGAAATAGATAATTTCTCGTTTGCCAATTAAAGTACTGCCGACTT